CTCCGCTACGCTATCACCGCAGCCGATCTTGAGAACGCGGCTGGCCAGCCTCCAAATCCGCGTCTACGGCTGTCGAAAATCAATACCCTGGTTTGCCCTGTCGTCGAAAATCCCCCGGTTCACCAGTGCGGACAGACGTTTGAGAGCCAGCCTGATTTCCGTCGGCATCTCCGCCAGGTTCATTCTGGATGCTGTGAGTACATCTGGGTTACATATGTAAAAGATATGCTAACTCGATAGTCGTGAACCATAACATGGAGCGCCTTGCGTATGAATCTTGCACTTCTATGAATGATCTATTACTAACGTATTTGTTTACAAATAGTCGGGATGAGGACGACTTCCGGAACGCGTATGGAGAGCGTTTCCATCGACTCCAGCAACCGGTTACTCCTACTAGTGGTGGCCGTAGTCGACGCGTAAGTATTTAGTGTTCTGTGAATATTATAAACATATGCTTATCATATGCAGCGTGGGCAAAACCCTCCTCCGAACCCGATTCCATTTGTGTTACAAGGTCATGATAATGGTAATCACAACAACAATGGCGGTAATAGAGATAGTGATGGCGATGGCGATGGAGATGGATCTGTATCTAGTAGCTCAGCGGCATTTTCGACAGGGCGTCCTTAGATCGATCTTTTAGGTTTTGAATATGTTTAACATGATCTATCAAAGCTGTTTTAATAACTCCTCCTTTTGCCGCTTAAGATCTTGCAATCGTTTCCGCGCTTGAAGTTCCGCAATCTCCTGTTGTAACTTGATCTCTTCTTGATAAAGGTTATCAAGATGAGATGTTTGAGGCTGTGTAGGTTGAACTGAGTATGAACAAGATTGAATAGAGCGTGAGCGAGATATTCGTGAACGCGAATGACTAATAGATGACTGAGTCTCAAATTGCGAATCAGCAACTGATATTGAATCAGAATTGATGTCGGAATCTAGGCGTGGAGGTGGGCCCATAGGAGGTGTAGAAGGCTCAATTGAATCATATGGATTTCCGGGCTTCCAAGGTCGCCATGGCTTTTTTTGACGAGATACTGCACTAGCACGATTGCGTACTTCCTTTCGACGGTATTGTTTACTGATGCGTGAGATACTGTCAGAAGCTCTCCAGGTTGCATTTTGGCCAGTTTCAGCAAATCGGTTGTTCTTTTCAACCATCTCAAAAACATGTTGTTTTGTTCTGGGAGTCATATATTAGCCACATGTTTGACATATGTTTAACATATGTTAAAGAAACTCACTTCAAGACAGCTGTAAGTAGCGATTGTTTCCGACCAATTGCCTCATTATCTACAAAATGACTGCTTTCGCAGATTCCTGTATGATGAGGTGCCGCAATCCACCAATCAATCGGGATCTTGGAGGCTTCACGCGTGATCCCTGCTAAAATCCATGACGCTCGCTTATTCTTGAACCAATTCGCTGTTTCAGGGAATTCTTCTGATGCTTTATCCATACAGCGAATAACCTCGTCTTTTGAAGTGCTCTGAAAGATCATAGTGATTACACCAAAGGCAGGATGCCTTGGAAATTTCTTGAAAAACGCGCGTTTAACATGTACCTCGCAAAAGAGAAGCACTCGTTCCAGATGCTCATGCCAGTTCCAGCGTGGGTCACGAGATGCAAGATAATCGCCAAGTCCTTTAATGATAACATATGGTTAACATATGTATTGCATATCAAGAGAATCTTGTACATACCAGGTGCTTGTTTTTTGCACATATCTAATGTAACTGTGCGAATCCCCTCTGCATCATCGTCACCACCAAGTTGATATGCCCAAGATACTGGCTTCCGGCCAACATCACCCAAGACTTTGAAAAGCCTTTCGAAAAGTGTTGCATATGCATGACGTGTATCCAAATTCATGAATGCATAGGCGTAAGTGTTAATCCGATTACCTTCCTCATTCCATGAAGCAATAGTAAAGACATTTGTTTTACCAGCTACCATCTTGAATGCAAGATCCATTTCAATATAACGCACTGATTGGAATAGCTTAGCCTGTGCATATGTACAACAGATGACCAGAAAGTGCTGGCGTTGTTCATCAAAGAAATAGACATCACGAATCCATTGTTCATCGACCTCCTTTGCTTGATCAAAGAGAAACTCGCGATAGACCCCCGCAATATCTGTCCCCTTAGGGTAGTGGAGAAGTCTTTGTTTGCGGATAAGCGCTGTAATTCGATCTTCTACATGTAAAGTATCATGGATCTGTCGTAATGCGGATGTTGAATGTTGCTTGACTAATGCACTGAATTTTGGAGAAAACATCAAAGACCGAGCGGTTAATCCTAGGATATCATGCTTTAGAATAACATCTGTAATCTCTGCGGCGATTGAATGCGGCATCTTTGATGGTGGCGGTGGGAAGTGTGAATGACTGCCACGACATACTAGCAAAACAAATGGGAAGCGATGCCAGGAGTATGGGATAAAGAGATCAAATCTGACTGAGCATTCCCTTTTGACCAGAGTTCCAATATTATTTTGGTGTATTGAATCTATTTTTTGCATAAGTATTGCATATGCAAAACATATCAAAACATAAGACGTCGAAACGCGACTTACCACAGAACTTTCCAGTCTTCCGACGATTTGCTACAAAGTAACAATTCTTGTTCTGATATTGATTCGTCGGAATACCAGATCTCTCAACCAGAAGCTTCATGAAGTCCATACTGATGTTATGGCTATGTTCAAGTGTCTGTACATAATGCCAATCCGCGTTTTGGTGATAAGATGGACATCCAATTCTCCACATCTAACCGCGTCAATATCATAACAACATGTCAATATTATAACAAAGATCACTTACACTACCATCCTGCCATATACAGGGGTGCTGATCTTTACATGTTGTTGCTCCAGTATAATACATACATGGGCCATCGATATTCCATGTACGCATGAAACCTAGATAACGCTCTCGGGTTCGCTGCTCAACCTCTTGCCGAGTTGTTGCATAGACAGGCTTTGCCATCTTTTTGCGTACATCGATAAAGATCTTAGGATTAACCGCATCGTATTGATCACATGAGGTCAAAATTTCAGGATGTGCTTGTTCACAGTGTTGAATTCCAGAGCACCGATATGAACGATGCCAAACTCGAGAATCCGGATCTTTAGGCTTCTTGGAAAGAAGCTTCAAGAAGTTTTGCCTTGCTCTGCCAGTAGCTTCAATTGAGAATTGAACCTAGGATATTGTTAACATATGCATTACATATGACCTGCATAAGTAATACATCCCCTACCAAATGTTCCTTCCCACTCCACTTTTTCGGGTCCCCTCTCAAAATATATATATCAGTTACACAGTATATAGCACCACCATTTTATGGTCTATAATAATATAATTAAATTTCAGGGTTGCTTAATAATAGCACTTTCAAAAATTCGCTTAATATTTTGTGTAATACCCCTTAGCCTTCCGCACTGCCTTCAAACGTCTTCCCATGCTCAATATTAGCGTATCTATCTTTGCCTGATCTAATGCCTTCCAAGCTTCCACTAGGCATTTTTTAAAATAATGCCAGTCTGCCTCCGACCTTCCCATGCCAATAAGCTCCGGAAATAATGCAAAAAGCTTCACTTTTAACCAGCGCCATACCGGTTCAATTGGGTTCAAATCGGGTGAGTGCGCGGGCCAGTCTTCGACGTATACTCCGTGAGTTTCAAACCACTCTTGCGTGTCCTTCGCTAGATGAATCCTCGCGTTATCTTGCTGAAATACTAAATTAGGGGTGTAGATTGGCATCAGACCTTTTTCGAGCGTCGAAATATACGACTTCGCAGTATAACCCCTCCCCGACCGCGATTCTTTGTCCCGTTCCATAATTATTAATTCTGTTCGACCTCCTAGCCAGATTCCGGCCCAAACCATTTGTGAAATATCTTTAACGTGAGCCTTAGCATTCACAAGGTCCTTACGAAGGCCCTCCGAGGTTGTACGAAAGCACCATTGTGGTCCAAAGTTCGAGGTTCGTTGCACCGAACACTCGTCCGAGAAGATCCACGATTGGAAGCTTTCGCGTCGCCATTTTCGCGCAAATTTTAGCCTCTTCCTTGCAAGAGGAGGCTTAATTGGTATTTTCTGTTTCGATCGCCGTTTTCCGAGTCCGAATCGCTTCAAAATTCGACGTATAGTGGAGGGTGACGGATGCTGAGCTGTAGCAGCACTTAGCTGTTTATAGGTCTAAAACGGATGCCGACGTGCCTGTAAATAGAGATGAGAGCAAGCGCGCTCACTAATAATAGCGGGACGGCCGCTTTTTTCGCGATTCTCTAGCTTTTCGCCTTCTGAATAGCGTTTTAGCGTATTGTAGATTGTACGCCGAGAGCAGCCAAAGTCATTAGCTAATTGCACTTGCGTAGCGCCATTCTCGTGAGCATAGATAATAGCTGACCTTTGGGACGTAGATAGCTGCGCCGTTTTGCTACTTTTTGGTCCTAATTTCATTACAATCGGAGCAATAGGGGAGGTGTAGGAGTGAAAAAAAAAACTTGGGTTGGTTGTTGGGCCAATATAGTGGGGCGGAGTGGGAAGGAACATTTGACTAGTATCTGTATGTCAGTATGAAGCAACCTTTGAAATCAGTGCGATGCTTACGGTTTGCCAACCATTTGCAAAGAACAAGTATATCAATGGGTCAGTAGTGTTCAATTCCTCACCACCAAGGTTGATGCACGCTCCAGCGATTGGCTGGAGCAGAGTCTTTGTCTTACTGTAGGCTGCAACAAGAAAAAGTCCATTATTGGCCCATAATCAAGTTAAGGTGAGTTGGGAAAGTTCTTGGAACTTGGACGTTCAAATCGATAGCCTTGACGAAGAGCTAGGTGATATGCCTCCGCATTTTGTACGAGCGGGCGGGAAAAATTAAGATCAGGCCGCGGTGCATCAAGCACTTTTCGGACCGACTTTGTGCTCGCATTCTGTTCAGGCAGGGAGGTCATGTAAGGAAAGCGTATCATAGGGTCGAAGTTGATGAGAATCAGCATATGGTGATTGGGGGCAATACTTCAGCAGAGGTAGAGTATATGATCGACCGCTCGTCACAAACAGCCCGAACAAGACTGGTGGACGAGTCTGGACATAGTAGGGCCAGTAGCTCCGAGGGAGCATCCTCGGAAGGCCATAAGCAAACACCACGAGAGTCGAAATGTTCCACGCCACTTTCCCCAATTGCAGCGCTATGTTCCCGCGGCTTCGTTCGAAGTCGCAAGCAGTGCTGAGAGCGCACCCCATCGGCTTGCAACTTAGGGTCGTCGATGAGGCCAAGGTAGGTCGCCGCGGCTAGGTGGTAGCTGCTGTACCTGGTATATGCCGGAATGAAGTCGAAACGTTGGTCCAGAGGACGGCTACTCTCATGCTCAGCGTGGCAATCGCGAACCAGTCGTTTTCCCGGGAGCTGGCTATGAGCTCCACCTGAATCCACCATATCAGTGGAGCGGGTAAGCTCCTTTGTATGCATTGCCAGCGCTTCGTCTGGCGTAGGAAGCGGTGTGGTGTAGTAGGTACGATGGTTTTCTCTTCTACCATCGAGTCATTCACCTTTGAGATAACAAGTTCGTATTTAATGTTCCCTGCCCAACTGAATTCGTAATACCAAGGGCATTGGATTAGCTAGTGCTCACAGCGTCGTTATTAAACTGCCTAAGGTTACTGCTGTTAGATAAGTGTGTCTATACCTAGGCTCAATCCACCATCTATTAAATCACGTACCTTACACAAAATTCAGTATCTTACGTACGGGATATATGGAGTCATATCCATACGAACGTCAGAATATCATATTCAAATCACATTGGAAAAGAAGGATTGGAGTTCTCACTAGTTCACTGACATAGAATGCGGAGCTTAGATTTTATCGAATCATTGCACAGGCATTCTACATAGACCATTCTGATACGTGCACTAAAATGGCACGGAGTCCAACTTTGCAGCCAACCGTTTGCTGATGAATAGTTAGAAGCATCGATAAATGGATCTGTCTAGACCACCGCTGATTGTTTCATGATACCGGCATTTCGATACTTTCCAACATGTGAGTGATGTAGTATTGAGAAAAGAAATATTATATAAGCCCCTCTTATGCCGGTGACTTGACTGACAATACAAATTCCTTTCAGGCTATCTTCTCATCCTTAGCATTGCTCCAAGCTTGACAATTTATAGGTTTGAGGTCTTGAAGCCAATCGCGAAGCAAAATGAGCCAACCCTCCAAGGCTTTCCACACTGGTAAACTTCCCATCCATACATATACTTATGCACTTCAGCACCGCTGACAAATCCATAGGGGTTATACTCTCCATTGAAAACTTGGGAAAAGGAGAGTATGATGTCGAACAAGTGAAGGATACATTGGAGGAGGCGGTGAATATTCGTTATGAAAATTATCCAGTTGAGGTGCGTTTTCAAGGCTCACAGATTTATCATTTCTGACTAAAGTAGGTATCTGGCAACGTTGATACGACAACGTGGGAGGCCAGTAATATCTTCTACTTTCTCGGCATTAAGATCGGCACTCTTAGTGGCAACTTGAAAAACGGAATCAGGGTCAATCTCAACATTGCCGGTTTCAAGGGCTATATCAGATTGTATCTTGAAGGCGACAAACTTTTGCTCACTTGGAGTGTGAAATCTAGATTTCCTGGTGGTCCCAAGTACGAAGACACCGTTGGAATTGAAATTGGTTGACTGTGTGAACAATCATAAAAGTATCTTTATAGTCCAATGCAATTTCTTCCAGTATCTATTAACTAGTTGGTGTATATAGATATAAATATGTTCCAACTACGACTAAGTACTTCCCAAGACAACAAAACCACCCATCTGTAAGAAATAATACCTTATTCTCTACATCTAACGGACTCCGAAGGCTGCACCTCTCCTCTTCAAGAGGGCTGGGCCTGCTGAAGTTCATTTCGACGAGACTCCATACGAGCCCTGAAGAATTATGCTTTGCACACTGCGACTTCCATGACGAACTTCGGAACTTCGCAGCTTGCAATAATCTCATGGATGTGACGATAGAGGACTCTATTTCGACCTTACCACTACTAAGTTCACTTCAAATACCTGCGTTGGCCCACCTCAGCTTGCAGATGTCTGTCCGATTTCGAAAACCTAAAGAACTGGGAGCGTATCTTGGCCTTCCTATGCGAACGGACACTTTCCATTATTCTCATCGGGGACAAGAGATCACCTGCTCGCGCTGCGTTTCCGGAACGACTTAGATAGGTCGTGTTGTTGCGGAAAGTGACGCTGAAAGGGTCTATCTAATTGGGACTTGTTGGTGTTGGCTGACAACCAGAGCACATGCAACATAATAGAATACGCTACGTCTGACTGACCCTGTGCTTTTATGGAATGTCTAACATGGAAAGCAGAATGACTCCTTGTTCCTACCAGAGATTGTTGCGGTAACTACCAGCAAGGGAGGCCTGATCAGCTATGCCAGCCAGAAAATTGTATATATGTCTCCTCCGGGGCTTGCCCTTAGTTAATCATGAATAAACCCACTTCTCTCTGCTCTTGACGGTGTCTCCAGATCCTTAGCTTTCACGGCTATAGACATGCCTGGTAGCGGAACAGTAAAGCAGAGCTGACCTTACGTTTATTGAGTATTCCTGACTGACTGTCATTCCCTTTCCTGACCTGCCCAATCGTTTGGGCTTCTGAATCTACCCTCATTCAATATAAATTTGCTAGACTAGGTATTCTATATACAGACGAGTTTTATATAATTATATAATTTCACAAAGGATACAGTGGTATCGCGATATTTACTAATATAGTGACCAGAACAGCAGTAAAAATTGAGTTGGCAGCTATGCAAAGGGATGTATTTGAGTGTTTGGTAGTAGGGTTCTTAGCGATCCTAGGAATTGTCGAACGGAAGGAGACCTTTCGTAGTGCCTATCTATATACACCGATCCTTTCGGGATTCATCAAGATTGGGCAGCTACTGGTGATCCAACGATCCGTCTTGGAGGTGCAGGAGGGCTCGCTAAATGAACCCTCGGCGATATTGAACGAGATGCGGCAACGATTTCTGATCCATGGATGCGCAACCTAGGGCCTACCCCAGGAGCCCCCGGGGGCTGGGCGTGCGGCCCCTTTAGGGTGCGACGATTTAGTATATAGCCAGCCCCTCCAGTTCCTATGGCCCACGCTACGTTCATCATATTGGCAGTTCAATAATGGCCCTGGTCTACTTTGCCCCGCGTTAGCGCCGCCACGCGGTCATATCTCCACTTGGAGCAGCAGGTGCTTGGTTGAACAGTATTCCTTCATGGGCTTGATGAGCCGGTTGAACGTTCTATAATAATCACCTCATCAACACCCTCGCGTCATGCTGGAGGACAGGAAAAAGTGGGTGATGTACATCAATATGCGAACGCCAGATCTAGAGCACTGTAAACTCGACGGTCATCACTATCTCCAGGCCTTATTGCGTACAACTTCTCGATATTGACCTGTTGAACAGTTTACCTGCGATAGCCGATCATGGAACGATCACAACCCGACTTACCATGCCCCACCACTATGGTCATCATTGGTAGTTCACATAACCTTTGACCGCCTCAGCCCCCACTAGGCAAGCGCCAAGGCAGCCTCACAGGTCAGATCTCCACTTGGCGCATTTATGCTTGGTTGAACAGTTGAACAGTGACATTTTATGAGACTGACATCTGGGATTCCAAAAGGCGTGGATCGATGTTCGTGAATTGCAAATCTGCTGGGGATGCTTGCTAAATACAAATGACAAAGCACGGACCCTAAGCCCTAACGAATAGCCAATTAGGTATAGATCAACACGAGAAAACGTCTTTGCCCTGCGTATGACTCTCCGAGAGCATGATAATATGTGCTAGTCTGGAACTCACGCATAGAGCTGCGAGAGTACACCCTCTGAATGGTCCGCTGAGACGAGAGCAGGCATATGAGTTTTCGGAGGAACCTTTTCGAAGGGTTGTCAGGTAGGCCATGCAAATCATTGAGCTCCATGGCCGATATCCTCACGGTGAGCTAGTACTCGGTAGACAATTAGCTGGGTTATATAGAGTAGGCTATGCGTAGAGCAGGTTGACTTTCGGCATCGCTCTAGTGCTTTAGGCCCGTCTCCAGTGGCCTTTCTCATACCACACGCACCCGCTTTGAGTGACGTTCTTCACGACCACACCGTAAGCGTTTGAGAGCACCTGGCCGATTGTGCAACGGTCGACGGTCCAAGGTGCACAGATGAAAGTCGATGATCAGGGCTCGCTCGAGCTCAGCATTCCACAGGATGTTGTCCGGACGAAGATCCTGATGAACAACGCCGAAAGAGCGGATCTCCTTCACCGATTGGTGAATCGCCAGTTGGATGGCCTTGTCGAGAGTATTATGGCCCACGCTCTCACCACCCCAGCCCATCAGAAGCATATGACGGATCCTTCCCGCGCCGTGGAGGAAGTAGGTTTGGGCCAAATTGATCGCCCCGAGAAAGACGGGAACAGCCGATCCTTGGGCACGCTGGAGGACCCGGTAGACGTCTGCTTCACGCGAGACCTCCCCCAGAGTCTCGATGTTGTCCCCTTCCCGACAACAGTATATCCGAAGGTGGCACACGTAATCTTGAATGGTGCGCCGGAGGACCCACAAGGGCCGATAGGGGTGCAGTTATGATCCAGATCCTGGTCAAGCTGCACCTTGAGCTTTTTCACCAAGTCAGTTGCACCGATCGGATGGCGGTCCGCCCTTCCACCAAGCATATGCAGCTCCGAGTTAGGGCACTTAGGATCAAGCGTGCCACCTAGCTGTAGCCCGAGAAGACACTTTTGTGTGCAATATGGAGCATCATGGGAGCGAGATTGCCCGGTTTGGTTCCCTTGGCGATCTGCTCGCGGTGCAGACCGTTGGGTTGGAGGGGACGATGTGACCTGGCTGAACCCCCGCTTCCGTCCTGCAGATGCGGTAGGGTCGGCCTCGGAATCCGAAGAACTCTCGTGGTGATACGGACTGGATAGTGGCGCGCAGCTAGCGGCCGCTCGAGTGGCCACCCGAGGGCCGCTGGTGATGGGAGACGAGGATGTGAGGTACTCAGAGGTTGACTGCTCAGGACTAGCGGATTCGGAGTTAGCATCGTCCACGTCCAGGTCCCGTGGTAATTCCACTACTACGATCTGAGCGCGATCGCTATCAAAATTCGTATGCCATTTCGGGAGCCCGTTTTTGGCCGCATTCCGCCACGCCTGATCACGAAGAGGAGCGCGAAAACTCATCAAACAGAGGCACAGGGTCCTCTCAATTCGAGTCCTGGGAATTCCAGGCCCTGCAACACCCGCCATCCCGTATATACCGGGATCACCCAGGTGGTAATAAAGGGTAGTTGGGTCGTCGTAGGGCACCCAGAGCTGCACGTCCATCAGACCGTTCGTCAAATATGAATACTCCAGACCCTCTTGAATCATCACGTGAAATTCTTGTACGATGGCTGATCCAACCAGCCGCTCGGCGTGATATCTTGATTTCTCTGGCTCTTCCGTCGGAACACGATCAGGTTGGACCACTTCTCGCCAAAAATCCATCGGTCGGAGTCCCAACCGTAGGTTCGCAGCGGAGAGCTTATGGGGGGTTTGTACTCGACCGTGGTGAGCAAGGTACGCCGGTTACCGTCCGCATGATAGATGCAAAATTGATCCGGCCTCGAAGGCTTTGTGGTCGATGGCTGGCTAGCATCGACTTCTTCATCTTCGTCCAAAGCATTGGGGTGATTATCGAACCATAGCCCATTGCCTAACCGGAACTCCTCGCGAGCCTCTGGTATTTTGCATAACTCAGCGACGATATCGTGCACGTGGTCTTCAACGGCGAGTCGTTCGTAGGTCTCGAGGTCCTGTTCGCTGCTAATCGGTCGGCGCGTAAATCGTCGGCCGTGGTCTTCCAACGCAACCAGTGACGTAAATAACTCTCGGGCATCCCCTTCGGTCGGTTGCAGGTAGCGGCAGACAGATTCGTAAATTTCCCGCTGTTTATCCTCACAGTCAGTCCACGGAAGCAGTCGTAGGGGACAGTGTTTTCCGATAGGAGCGGGAATTTTGCCTGTCGTGGAGCGAGACGGTGTTTGGGCTCGGAGTGGCGTCCAAAGGAGATCGTGGCAATGTCGGATGAACTCTGGAAAAGTCGTGGGTCGGTTGCGCTCCCTCTGTTTCCTCTCCCGTTCCTCTGCCTGCCGTCTCAGCGCGGCTTCCTTGAGGAAAAGCGCCTTGTAGTCCGGGGAGCTGCTTCCACTCATCACTATTGTGAATAAGGGAGGGAAAAGACGGACAACTCCGACGCGACGGTGGGGGTGAAACTCTCCTCCCCGTCGTCACTGTCAGCTGGGCGGGATCTCGGTGAAAATATTTATCCGTCAAATACACGTGACTCCGGACCAGCACTGGCCTGGGATTGCCTCAGTGCCTCAGGCCCTCCACTGCATCGGAACAAGCATGTTCCGTAATTACCTAATCGGGTAATTCGCCTGGGGAGGGCCTGAGCGCAATTGCACCGCTTTTGCTGTGGGTCTCAATTTCGTAATGTATTTTGAACAACAACCCCTTCATCCAACAATGTCGCAACCTTCTGACAGCCCCGTTCATACAACACCTAGGCAGTATCGCAGCCGTCTCAGTCCGGCAGAAAAGTTGGACAAGACGTTCGCATTCCTTCGTACTGAACTCAACTGGTCCCTATCCGACTTGATCAGAACCCTGTGCCAGCAAAATGACCTAAAGAACCGCCAGCGACAAACTGGGTATATGAAAGCTGCATATGGCAGGGAGGTAATTGACCTCTGCCTCGCTCATCCTCGTTCATCAGAACTGGAATTGCGCAAGATGCTACTCGACTCAGTGAATTGGGGCATGCCAGAGTATCGACGAGAAATTGTTGAGCTCGGAAAACAGACCGGCTTTGGCGAGTTCGCTGTCTCCATTGCTAGTGCTGATTCGCTACATGGACTCCTCGATACGGCTCATGAGCATGCTCCGAGATTTATTGGATTGTTGGATAGTGTAACATGCGGAACTCGGCGTGCTAGCGAGATAAGTTCGCTTTCGTCTCGGTACATAATAATCCTCGCAATCCTCTGTTATTCACAATCCAATCGACACAGCAACGTGCAGACTCTTCTTGCCATACACCTGCATGCCAATGGAGTTCGGCGACGAGTCATCGAACTGCTCGCGAAGTATGGGCTCTCTGTGAGCTATAGTACGATTCTGAGGGTAATCAAGTCTCTTTCTGGAGAAGCTATCGCTTCTGTGACTGCTGCTGGGAGGTCTCAGAATTCTGTTACTGTTTACGATAACTTTGAGCAAATGGAAGGCGTCCGGGAGCAGCGTGTTGAAGGAAACAGTACATTCCACTCAGTGACCGCCGGGGAGGTCTTTGAAGGAAGGGAAATGCCAGATGGAGGATTGAAGCAGACCATGCTTGATCGAAATGTCCGCCTGGAACCGGAAAGTGTGCTCCTAGCACCGGGCAATTCAGATGACGAAATTCAGCGCCAGGTATGATTGACTCGTATGGTAAGTATTCCCTTTTAACCTAGCGTGGTAGATTGTCCGGTTTTTCATTGCTAAAGCTGTGAAAGGGGTCTTTCCTCAAGCAATTGAAGCAATATTTTCTCCTTCGACGGCGGCATTTCCCAACATGCCAAAACTTGACGTCTTGCCCGTTGGGATCACGAAGCATTCCCCTCTTGGACCCATTTTCCATGACGAGTCGACAAATGAAGGAAACCTATCGATACTTGACAATATTTTCCGGAAGCAGTACGCTATCGACGAGGACTCAGAGCTTTATCGCACTCGGCTCTTCCTCGTATATGGTGATCAAAAAACCGTTGATCGTATTCGATCCTGCAAGCGCCTTCGGCGACGTGCCTCTCGACCTTATGACAATCTCCAGTGGGTCCTACCGGTCGCTGGCCTCTTCCACCTGAAGATGAATTATTTGTACATGATATCAACGTGCCATTACGGAGGCACTGGGGGCGATCCATCCACCTTGCATGATGCCGCTAACTTTTGGAGGCGTAAGAAAATCAGCAAAGCAAAATCGGATTTCTTCGCATTGGAAGAGCTGGTAATCCACAGCTTCGAAGCCCGAGTGGCCGCTGTGTACTGGTTACTTCTCGCGAATACCGGACTAGGGAAATCTTACGAGGATATTGATCGAATTACACGCCTACACAGCCCAGAGAATTTCCTCTCCCTAATCGAGCGCATCCGTGTGGTATATTTCCACCAGGCTACCCGCGGGGGCCAAGAGTTACAGAACCACTGCCTTTTCCTGCAGCATACACTCAACTACCTGTTGCTCAAGTACGCCATCAAATACGCAGACATTGGTCTTCTACGGAGAGCGGTCGATCGAGCCTGTGTTCTGTTCGCCGGGACCAATCAACGCAAGTATGCCAATGAGATGCTGTACTTTCAAAAGCTATTGACCACATCTGCAACTCCAGCGCTGCAACGGGCCATTCTCGCGAATAGCCTCATTAACTTGCGCGGCCATCAGGACTCGTGGTTTGAAACTGATCGGATGATGGAGTTCCATATTGGGGATATGAAGGAGATTTTTAAGGCGAAACGAGGATCCACTATCCATCTCGACTATCTCTTTGAGTATTGCTCCCTTAACTCATCGTTCTTCCGTCTACTCCGCTCCGAGATCGAGCGCATTTTTAACGTACACGTTAACCCGGAGCACACGGTGAAGTCGGCAACGTATGATCTCACTATCATGGCAGAGAGACTGGTCCGCCAAGGTTCGTTGGCATATAAAAACGATCGAACTACCAAGTTTGTTGCTCCGGATCTTGTGCGACTAGGTGTTGCCAAACTGGCTGGTGAGACAATGGAAAGGTTTAATTCAAGAGAACTCCGAGGGTATGGCATGGAGAGCGAGGAGCTCGAGGAATCCCACACAGGTGATCTACCCGTAGATTTCTTCGCGTTGGAGGACACGGGATGAATCTATCCTATCTGCCTTTTTTGCCTTTTTTGACTTGGCGTAATCGGTGGCTGACCTCGATACGGACGGAATGCCCTGTTTGCATCGAGCTGTTGAAGGGCTTGTCTCTCGTCTCTTGTTTTAGCTGCACGAGCAGCTGCAATGGCTCTGATGTCGACCCCCTTGGTAACCCCAGCTGCCCTGATGGTCTTGACGACCTCCCCTCCAAATCTCTCCAACCAAATCCACTTCCCCCCAATACGGTCTCGAAGATCATTAATTGTATGGATGTGGTATCCGTCTCTTGCCAGGTTATCCAGCAAGTGCGTGGGCATTAGCGCCTCATGAGCGTCCTCATCTTGGAAGAAGCTTGCATGGAAGAGCTGCGCTGCCCTTGTCTTGCGCCACTGAATCAAGTCCGTGCGAGCCCTTAGTCTTGCCCAGTTAGGGACTTTCGATTTACGGAGCTGTTGCTCTTGCTTTCGAGGCCTAGGGAGGATGTCAACTTGACTGCAACCAGTACAGCAGGCCAGCGGTCCAGGTCGTTGGCAATCCGTCATTGACTCCCCGAAGAAATTTAGAGCGCATTTTCTAATGCAGCCACGCGTGTTTATCAACTCCCGCAGGCCAGGATCGAGTTGTGCTCTGCGCACCCTCTCCAATTTTGCTCTTCGGGATGCATCAGCTTGGTTTTCCATCGGTTCGAAGCACCAGGAGTCCACCAACCAAAGGAAGTCACCCATATATCCACTTCCTCTTGCAGCTCTCCCTGCTCTCTGAAATAGTGTGCACATTGAGGAGGGCTGTTTCCATTGTATGACGCGGCGGATATCAGGGTTGTCGATTCCCATTCCCATTGCGTCTGTGGCTAGTATGATGCGGTGGATGGCGGGACCGCCCTGGCCTCGGTCGGGACGGCAAAAATCCTCAGATATTCTGCGCTTGTCGAAGTCAGCCAACTGAGAGTGATAGGCTTGAATAGCGGCGCTTGCCAAGGCTCTCTGGCTACCCAACCTCACGAGCCATTCGATCATTTGAAACTCTGCGGCCTCGATCTGGGCGATTGAATCCATGTACACGATCGTCTTTGGGATTTGACTCATGCTGACCTGCCCTGGGGCAGTCACTGCTTCGTCTAAGAGAAAACTGAGATCATGGAAACTAGCAATGCTGTGCTCAATCCGACGAATGGATAATGAGATATCTGGTCGGTCGATCGTTGTTTTCATTACCTCGACTTCGTCCTGAAAACCCGCCAATTGTATGACATCTTGAAGCATGGTCGGGTCAAGGGTGGCAGAGGTCCCAAACCATGGCACTCTTTTATCGATACGATGTCTAAGGACGCCAATCCGAGAGTAGTGTTTTCGCCAATCGCCACCCCACTGCTGAACGACGTGCAGTTCATCGATGGCAACTAAGACTAAGCGCTGATGAAACTCCCTATGCCGTAACAGCTCCGCGAATTTATCTGAGAGAGCAATCTCAGGCCCCAAAAGAACTAGAATCCTCCCGTTAGTGGGTCGTTGTGCCACGGCAGCTGGATGCAGCTTACTGTGCGTGAATTCTCCATTCATTATCCGCTGGCGCACATGAGCGTTGTTCGATTTGCTGTTGAGAATACATGGAACACAGCCAGATATTTTCTTGATTGACGCTGCCTAGGACATGTCAGATTGCATGAACCACCTGTGATAGCTCCAACTGGGTATGGAGCATGCTAATCAATTTCAACGCTGGCTGTTCAACCCACCTGGTCCTCCTCTAGCAGGTTTAAAGGCATGATCAGAAGGGCGATTCCGCCCGTTCTAAGTGCAGGAACTGATTGGAATATCATTGACTTCCCCCAGCCAGTCCTAGCTATGAGTATGAGGTCTCTCTGATCGATGGCCAGGGTTTTAATGGCCTCTACCTGGTCGGGACGGGGTTGGAATCCGTGGAGTCGGTGCAGAAGGTCGCGTAATTTCTCAGCAGATGGAGGATCTTCAGGCATAAAAGATACTGCATTTGATTTAACAGGCATTGTTGATAGGATGGGTTAAATTTCAAGGTATAGCAATGCAATTTGGCGGAGAAACAGGACAAATTGTCTCGATGGTCGCGTCGTTTTGTTGTGAATTTAGAACCTAAACTATGCGTTTTACACGTTACGAAATTGAGACCCACAGCAAAAGCGGTGCAATTGCGCTCAGGCCCTCCCCAGGCGAATTACCCGATTAGGTAATTACGGAACATGCTTGTTCCGATGCAGTGGAGGGCCTGAGGCACTGAGGCAAGGCCTGGGATACGGGAAGCACAGGAGAGAGTGATCTGGAACAGAATAAATCCCAAGATTTGCAATCCCATGACTCACCATCCTGGAATTCTCTCTATCCTGGGCACGTTCCTTGCCTGAAATGGACCATCCCATAATCAATTATATCCCATAATGTGAGGGTCTCACGTATAGACCTCCGCACCGGCCCACAAAGCCCATAGCCCAACCCGCCCCAGCCCATAAATGGGGCGGGTTTTGGGCCTGGCATTAGGCCCACTGGTAGGCTATGGGCCTAAGGTAGAAGCCCAATATGGTTTAATGGGCCCCCAAATGGGCCCCAAACATTGCAAACATGCCAATTCTTGGCATTTGCATAAGTTATGTAGACCTTCCTACTAATTTTGAGTATTACAATTACCACCTGAGGCCCCTAATTGACTGAGATCTCATGGAAATCGACGCAATTCACTGATTTATGAGATTGATGAGATTAACTGATGAGATCAACTGATGAGATCGATTGATTAGATCCCAAGAGGTAAAACTATCTACATGCTAATAATGCTCATACAAATCATCCTCAACATGCCTCCTCTTCCTCCCTGATGTCCGCACTTGAGACGGTGCCGCATGAGACGGTGCCGCAGCGATAGTAGCATCGTCATCGTCATCGTCAACATCTATCAGATCACCGGATCTATCACCCTGCTCTTCAGCATCACTGATCGCATCAACGTCGACGACAGCTAGCACCTCAGCTGGCTCCTCGGCATCATCACCTGGCTTTTGAGCCGCCTGAGCCTCCTCCACCAGGATTCTGAATCTCATCAGAGCCAAAGAACTGCTCAAATTCCTTCGCCTCTTGCACTTCAAGATCAAACCTTGACGTACAGAGGCACAACATCAGCTCTTCGATAGTTTGCGCCTTCAAAGAGCCCCGGCGATAGTGGCAGATATCGCGTGCAGTGTTAAACAGACGTTCAACTCCAGCACCTGTGGCTGGAATTGCAAGGTAATCTCTTGCAAGTGCGGCAATAGCAGGGAAGCGATATTGATTCTCTCTCCAAAAGGAGAGCGGCTCATCAGATATAGTTAAACCTGTAAGAAATTAGTATCATGAAGATAGGGATGGGTTTTCGGCCGAAAAACCATCTCTCAAGAAAGAATAAACATAGAGATTAACTTACTGCCGTCGAGATACTGCGTCATCTCATCATCTTTAGTCGGGCCTAGCGTTGCTTTACCAGCTTTGCCTTTGCCTTTGGAGAGAGACTTCGGGGGAGCCATCAGGCCAAGAAGGAAGGATCTTGGCATCGATCCAGAGGAAGACACTTGCGGGCTATTTAAAGTAGTAAGACGCTCCTGGATAGGAGTAAGTGCCTCACGGAAAGCCACTCGATACTGCTCACGGATCTCTTTGGCATCCTCCCAGTCATCAGATAAAAAGAACTGGAATCTACTATCCGGCGATAGCATCGTACAAACCGCATAGATATGCCCGCGCATATGATCCGTCTTCTTATAGTACTCCGACAGTTTTGAATGGCTTGCTCCGAGGGAGGTAAGCATCTGCTGTTTCCATGGAACACGTTTTCGTTGTAGCTGCGACTTGCACTTCTCAAGGTGTTCAAAGAGCTGGTTATAGATCCTGAAGACAAGAAACGACGTCGCCTCTCGTGTCTTCGAAAGGGCGAGCGTAAAGTCAAAGAATGGCCTTGTGAGATAGATCAGATAGTCAATTTGGCGCCATTGTTCATCATCAAGTTCGAATTCTGTACAGTTGAACTGACGACAGTATTCATTGATAGCAGTACGGAGTCTCTTCGCCCGGCGTAGCATCAGAAACGTTGAATTCCATCGAGTTTTGACGTCCTGGATCGGCATAAGTCCTTGCCCTGGAACTTTGCCTTGGCCTTTGTCGAGGTCGTGTTGGACTTTGAGGAAGTGATCTCGACGCTGAGGGCTCCCGCGGATATAAACAGCAAGAGATCGTATCCTCTTTAAGGTATGCGCAATGTCCCGTTTCTTAGACCTGGCCTCCGCATTCGCCTTAGCAAGGCTAATCTGTTGTTCCTCTGTCCAGACAGTCTCGGCTTGTTCATTCTTTGGGCATGCTTTAAGTCGGTGAAGTAGTTGGTTCAGACTTAATTGGATGACATGAGCGAGACAGGGGACCCGGATGACGTTAAAACCAGTAGCCGAAAGCCGAAGGCTCTTGTTGTAAAGACTGTTGTAGTGCCTTAACCAGAGTCTCATTATTCGATGCGTTATCGGTGGTTATTCCAAAGACTCGGCCCTTAATGCCATGTTCGGTAAGCGTCTCCATCAGAATAGCACTTAGGTTTGCACCTGTATGCGAACTATGAAGGGGTTTAAAGCCGAGTAGCACCTCACGGTAGACCCATTCGGCATCGATGAAATAGCCAGTAATAGCCATAAATGCCTGCTGAAATGGAGATGTCCAACAGTCTAACGCAATCGAGATCTTTGCATGTTCTGGAAGCATTCTGAGTGTATCATGCTGTCGTTCTTTAACACGGCCAGACAGGCGACGTCGAATTGTATCAGCGGAGGGCACGATCGGAGGGCTTAGGGCGGATTGTGCCTAGATTCAAGACTTAAGATTTAGTTAGGTGACGAGGAAAATAGAGGCTGATTGGTAAAGACGGCGGATTTGGAGGATTTGGGGGATTTGACGCCTACGGACTGGCGTCTGACGGACTTACCTCTGCGATGAGCTCACGAAATGCTGGATTTTCAACGATTTGGAATGGAAGCCGGTTAGTAGTAATAAACTCCAAGATTTTACTCTCAAAACCTTCTTGCGAGAATGTCTGGCTATGACTACCCTGATCATGATGCTAGTTAGTAGGGTCTAGTAGAGCTAGGTATGATAGTATACCGTTTGAAGGAACCTCGTCAATTCAGCCCTCTGCCGGCGTCCACTTGTAGCCTTTTGGCAGGCTGAGGTCTGAAGATGACGGGTAATTGTTGTCGTGCCATGACGACCAACCCTCCCATTGGCATCCTTCTTAGTAGTATAAGGGTGCTCAAGAATTGCATCGCAACGCTTACACAAGACCTTTGGGTTTCCAGTCGCCGTATGGGCCACTTGCTCAAACTGTTTCCAGGTCTCCGAAGCGGAGCCATGCTGTGACTCCCAAGCGATCTTGTTTCTAGATCCATAGTCAGTCTCCAACCACCAGTTGACCCAATCAGTGTGATTCATCGCGTCGTAAAGGAAAAACTGGCCTCCTCTCCTACCAGGACCGACACGTTGGAAGCGTTCAAGGGGATCTAGGGCGATAGACGAAGGAACAGACGGCTCAACGAACGAGAAGCTATCAACCTGCCGAGAGGTGGACGGAGTAGCTGGGCAAAGAGAAGGCGTAGCAATTGACGAATTGTCGGGCTCAGTGTCGAACAGGCCCAACTGGGAGGATCTAAACTCCTGGCTTTGCGACATGATCAGGATGACAACTTGATAGTAGGTTCAAAATTGGATGAAGGGCTTCAGGGGAATAGCTTCAGGAGGAAGAAATCGACATACCTTCTTAGTGAGAGAACTGTCGACGTATCGACGCCGTAGCAAACAGATATTGTAAACAGAGATCACCGTAGCAGTCGACATTAAAACGGAATATCTTGATTCTAGCATCTGATTGGCTAGATCATGCATATGCAGTGAATTCAGCCCATCCAAAGCCCAAGAAAAGTCCATGGATAACCCATCTCCCCGCCCATTTTACAATTTGTTCGCCCAAAACATCTCACCCCATGGCTCATGAGATATCTTCAAACCTCTCATATCTCTGTAATCCCCAGAATATTACGTTCCTGTGAAGACAGACGTTAAGTCTGAGAGATTGGCTATCTTTTGGTATAAATTTCAACTCTATAAACCTATAATTCATAGATTTGACCCTTGAATCTACAGTTCAACAGAAACATGCACCTACTTCTAATTATATGAGATATATATCTCTACATGTTGACACTTTGGAACTCTCTAAGTACTAGAATACTAGGAAAACTTGGTGAAATTGGATTGTTTTTTGGATGACGCCGGTAAACTATAGTGCCTACTGTAGCTGGCTTCATCTACGACCTTAATTACTATGTCGTCGCCGTTGGATCTTGAGATCTTGATTCTTGGGGGAGTTGAACCCCCGGATTGGGAGTTGAAATACTAGATCAGGCCTGGTAAAACGTCGGGCCGATGTATGCCTTGTAAAGGCTTACAGACTGGAACATGCGTAAAAAACAGGCATTAATCAGCGGTTTTATGAGCGCCAAGATCGTAGTTATGCATAGAAATGGGCTATATTGGGGGCCTCATGGGCCCCCACTCATGGGCTATGGGTTGGGGCGGGCTATAGAGGTTAGGCCCACAGCCCACTGCTGGTTGGGCTATGGGCCTAAAGGTCGGGCCCATTTATGGGCTTTGCGGAGGTCTATCCATGATATCGACCTGTCTGCTATGCCAGACTGCCATTGAGCCATCCCCATTTCAATATATATTTACGTCATTGGCTTTTTCCTGCCAACATACTATCATATTACCTGTTCTATTTTATGGCTACGCCTTCCTTCTTCCGTTATGCTATATGGCAGAATATCCAGAGGTCATAAGGGTTCAATCCCATTTTATGGTTCAACTCTATTTAGACGCGACGCGTCTGAGAGACTGGGACGCGTGCCCCTACCTCTTCTTCGTTGGCAGTGAAGCTCTCCCAGAAACTAACCAACTCCACATATGACTCTTCAACCCTGGTTCTACTGAGCTACTGGGTCCATATAAAAAGTGAGCTGTGATCAGCAAGTTGTATTCATTCACACTGCACCAGTGGCCCGGTGTATCCAACACAAAATGCGTACCCGGCAGAAACGCCTCAACTACCGAGTTCTGAATGACGAGAGCGATGGAGAGTCTTTGCCCGAGGATCAAACCGACCAATCAAGCAAGTCAAGCGAGCCACCGAGCAATGCCACACATACTCTCCCAACCTGTCAAAAAGACGCGGTGATCCTCGCCAACATACCAGATTGCGAACTCCTACCTTCCGAGTCTGTGTCGCAAGTGCTAGTATCCCAAGAGAGCTCAACGGATGCTGGCACTTCAATCACAAGCCACGTATCCTCTCGATGGTGTAAACGGCCAAGCGCCGGCTACAGAGTGGATCTGGGGGTACTTCGAGACTACAGCCATTGATTGTCCATGGGTTATCAAGAGGACCAACAAGAGGCGGCTGGTCGACCGAGAGATTCGCTGTATGCATGTAGATGAAAAAACGGGAACACGCTGTGACTGGCATACGTCAGATTCTCAAAGGCAAAACACAACCAGCAACATGAAAACCCACTTGGCAAAGCATGGCATTTACTGCCCGACCTCCAGTATACAGCCAGCGAAGAAGGGACCAGACATTCGGAGTTTTATGGGTGGTAAACAGAGTCTCACCCATCAAGAGGTCTTGGAAAGGAATGCCATTCGCCGGATCGTGACTGATATGAAAGCTTTCACCACTGTCAAGTCGCCAGAGTTTCAGCAAATGTTCCGAGACATTCCTGGGATTGAGCCTCCATTCACTTCTCGCCACACCTTGCGGGATCGAATCATGCAAGAGTTCGCCATACAGCGCACCAACCTGAAGGATGAGCTGACTTTGACTTGCAAAACCATTGCCTTATCACTGGATATCTGGACAAGCCAGAATCATCTTCCTATTTTAGGGATAATAGGTCATTGGCTGACTGACGAATTTGAGTACCGCGAGAGATTACTCGAGTTCACCGCACTCCAGGGCGTTCATAGTGGAGAAAATCTGGCAATTGCAGTGGAAAATATGCTTACTGAGTTGAGTCTCGAGGACAAGCTCATTTCCATTACAGGCGACAACGCCAGTAACAATGAGGCCATGGCATCGGAGTTGTACTTCTCCCTTTCCGACCGACCTAGGGGGCAGACGCCATGCCAGCACCACTCTATCGAGGTCTTGACAGCTACATCCGCTGCCTGGCTCATGTCCTCAATCTGATTGTGAAAGATATCCTCCGTAACGTGGGGTCGGGGACGATGGAACAAGCGCAAGTTGCCTGTGACTGTTTACAGACTGGTAACTCGATCACCGATCACTCAGCAATAGGGAGATTACGGGTCCTCGCTCTTTGGATTAACCGAAGTCCTCAGCGCCGACAGAAATGGAAGGAGATTTGCAGACTCAACAATCTTCCAGAAAAATTCGTAGCGTACGATGTTACGACACGATGGAACTCGACATTTCGCATGGTGGATGATGGTTTGAAGTCAAGGCAACAAGTCAACAAGTTCCTAAACCTTCAGGAGGAACTCCCGCCGTTCACTCTCCAGGATTGGTCACGGCTGGAACAGATTCACACAGTACTCCACAAATTCAATGAGCTTACTTTGTTCATTTCGAAACGCAATCCACAAATCAGCCTCGCAGTCCCGATTTACTATGAGCTACACGAACTGCTTGATGACGTGACGGAAGGCAATGGTGAATTCGCAAAACTGGATCGAGATATCATAGCTGCAGTGAAAGAAGGGATGAAGAAATACGAAAAGTACTATTCCATTATGGATGACTGCGATACCTACTACACTGCCCTCGTCTTGGATCCCCGAGTCAAAGGTGAAATGGTCTTACGGGAACTGCAAGATGGCAATGCAGGGACAATGGTTCTGGAAACGATCCGCACCAATCTCCATCAGGTATACGCGGCTAGTAACCCGGAGCATGATGCCGCTGCATCAAAATCGTCTTCCCTGCAGCATAGTGATGTGGAGTCTAGAATGCTGAAGAAGTTGCAGGCGCGAGATCCGCCGCTCTCAGATATTGATAAGTACTTCGACACCCCTCCGATCAGCGTCGCAGATACAACCGGCCAGAACTGGCTCTGTAATTGGTGGAAGATGCAGAAGGGCGAGTATCCGCGGATGGCAGCAGCAGCCAGGGACTATCTAGCGATTCCTGCTTCTGAAGTTGCTGTTGAGAGAGTATTTAGTACAGCGAGGGACGTGCTAGGCATCCGGAGATATTCTTTGAAAGGGGATACCTTAAGAATGCTGATGTTGATTCGCGATGGGTATAAGTGGTAGCGGTCAAGAGATTTGGTTAACTTATGCCATCGCGATAATCCGGTTCTGCATTCATAAAGTGTTAAATAAAACTGCTGTTCGACGAAAGCCCGTTCGCTCTCTAGATGATTCTAAGGGGAAAATGTGCCGATGCCGATACGATATGACGATATCGTGAGTGGTGATATCGTCAAATTTGAAGCTTGCCGATATAGTACCGGAAATCGGCATCGACAAATTCAAAAGCTGCCGATATCGTATCGTCTGTCGATATCGTATCGTCAACATCGGTATATCGGCAATATCGTCAACAGCCCTATTTGGTTGGTTATTGTCACTCCCCGCAGGTTGCTGGCGGCCTGCCTCATAATACTAGTTTGGGCTATCGAAAGCCACACTAGACTTATATTGCTTTAAACATTTCTAAATTGCGAGACTTGCGACCATAGAAGTCATTGAATTCTATTAGACCAAATTTAAGCATGTCCTTTGCCTGAAGGTCACTCACGGTTTGGGCCGGAAGCGTGGGGGATTTCATGAACTATTGAATATTGTCCAAGGAACTGTTGAGTATCGCGGTGGTCAAAGCTTATGGCAGGACTAGCGATGGACATTTAAATAGACGGGATTCCCACTTTTGATAGCAACCTCAACAAGAACACTACAACTACCTATCTCAACAGGTTATGAGCCCGGGTGGCTTTACCTTTGGGCACGCAGGCATATCAAGAAAAAAAAATCCTTTCCCTGCCATTACAGCTAAGCTTCTCTATCAGAAACTAACTCCATGAACTTCAGAAACTGATCATATATTCTCAGTAACTTGATGAACAATATGAAGTTCTATTGCTCAAAACCCTCTCAAAGCAATAACCTGGATGAACTTCCATTCACTGAAGACTTACAGACAGCATGCCATCAATGCTACTGTTACACTGTCACACTGGCACGGAGTATCGCAGGGTTGTCCCCATAGCCAGGACATGTCACCGTTTGCAGCAAGTCTCGGGAGTTTCTCCGGCAAATAGCCATTGACAGTATGCCATTATTGCTACGGTTACACTATGAAGCTGGCATGAGGTACCGCAAATGTTACCTACTGCCGGGACATGTCACCATTTGCAGCAAGCTCGGTAACCATCTTCTCAGAGTCACCAGCCACAATGCCATTTCGGAAGAAAAATGCGGAAAACACTACAAAAGAGACACTCTTGGACGGACGAGGAGCTGAACATCCTCTCATACCTCCGATACACTCGCCATTGGCGCTTCAAGAATATCCAAACGTCCTACTTCCCATCACTTTCTCCGAACGCACTCTTGGGAGCCTACTGGCGCCTGTCCACCGAAGACCGCATACGCCGAGCATCGAGGATCACCACCTCAATCATCGCTCCTCGCAACACTGGAGAAAACCTCTCAGGTTCCCCCCAAGCTCAACCCACATGTTCCAGTATCGCAAAGGGGACAAGTTGCTATCGCACTCTTGCTCGGTCGGAAAACAACATTGAGACTTTGGCCTTCACCCCACCAAGCCCTGCGGGTGGAGGGGATCCATTCATTTCCGACAACAGCAATTCGAGTCGTTACAAACTCAGGCCAAACAGACCCTCAATCTTCCCTCCAAGGAAGCCGGGATATCTTGTTGACCGACGCCGTTTGCCCCACTTCTTTAGATCATACAAGTACTCTCTCAATCTACAAGGAGTCCCGGACAGCGACTATACTCCTCCATCTCGGATGCCTACGCCAAGTTCATCAGATCGAAGCGTTTCCATCGTCTCAAGTCTTCCCAGTGCCGCGCCAAGCCTTGAACTCTTTGGCTTGGAGGTGCGCTCGCCTCAGTCATCAAATAGTGAATCGGTTACCTCTGATCGGCCCAACGACATATCTAGCCCTGAATTCTTCAGCTCCGAGGAGCATCCTTTGCCGACATGACTGAAATCACAAAATTTGAGCAATTCGGAATCAATACGTTCTATAACGGAATCCCAACATTAGATAATGCCAGCGACTGGTTTCGGTGGAATCAGAAGGTCAATGAGTTCATTCGGATATCTGCGGTTGCCGACGATGGAGCGACTCCACCGATAGAAGAGGAAGAAGCACGGCAATGGATTCACCGCCAAAAGTTCTATTCTGCGATGATCACGGCAAAGCTGACCCACAATGCGGCGCAAAGGATCAATGCCTTTGAGATTCCTCCAGTCCAAGTACTGCTTAAGGCAGTCAAGGACAACTTCAAACCAGAAGGCTCAGGCACGTATGTTAACCTCCAACGGCGATACATGGCCCTTACAAGAGACAAGTGTGGGAGCACTCAAGCCCTCGGAGCAGAGATCAGGAAGATCCATGCTGAAAAACTCCTCCTTGACTCTGATTGCGTAACCTCCGAAATTGAGCGAACATTTTTCTTCGTGCATGCACTCGGTCCGGAGTACGAGAGCTTCCGCGATCATATCTTCCGACAAATGGACCTTGTCAATGAAAGAGACGCAAATGGGACCGTCACGAAAGCGGCGCCCACGTTTGACTATATCGAGAATAAGGCAATTGAGGAAGAGCATAGGAAGGGGCAATTGGGTAAACAAGCAATGGAGACGCAAGCACTTCCTGCTCTTGCTCTAGTCCGTGGGCCAGGTGACAAGAAACTCATCCCGTCGTCGGACGGAACTACTTGTCGAATCGAGATCGATAACGTCCCATATTGCTCCTTCTGCCGAAAACCTTATCACGTTGACTCCGAATGTTTCACCAAGAATCCGAAACAGAAACAGAAAGACGGAGATGGACCGAAGCCAAAGCCAGGCAGGATGCATACGGGCACACGCAAACAGTTGAAGAAGCGGCCTTCGACGGATGACGAGGATGATGATGCCGGTGGTCCAAAGGATCCAAAGAAACCAACTTTCATGGCGACGAGAGTCTCCGAGAAAGATGTCAACGAAGCATTTGGAAACGATATCGAGGGCAATTTCGCCCTGTCCGACCATATTCCCATAATGATGGCGATAAAAACCCTCTCTATTCGCGACGCGTGGATCGTGGATAGTGGATGCGCTCAGCACGTCTGCAATAGTGCCTCGAGGTTTGTCCAAATGGCCAAGTACCATGGCCCCTCACTTACAGGCGTTGACACCTCAACGGCTCCCTCAGGAGTGGGAACAGTGGATATCCTTTGCAATGTACGCGGCAGAAAGAAATGGCTTGTGCTTGATAACATCCTCTATGTTCCATCTGCACACGCCAATCTCATATCGGTGCTCCAGCTTCTCAAACGAGGAGCAAAGGTGGAATTCCCAAGCCGGAGTGCTATCATTCGCAACAAGTCAAACGAAAAGAATCTATATACTGCCAACGAATATCATGGAGTCTACGCACTCGATCTGTGGACAAGTCTGACTTTTCCCTCTTACCATGTTAGCCCGCAAATGTCTCTGTGGCACAATCGACTTGCTCATATGAGTGATGCAAATCTTCGGCGACTCAAAAAGCAGGCTCACGGTGTTCGGGACATGGAGCCACGTCATCCATGCAATTCGTGTCTGCAGGGGCGAATGATCGAAAAACCCCACCGCAGATCAGGAAATAGCAGGAGAGGAGAACACGCAATGGAGCTCCTCCATATTGACGTTGCAGGGCCATTTGACGAGGGCCTTGACGGCAGTCGTTACTGGCTCACCATCGTTGACGACTTCACGGGCTGGATCGAGATTATCCCTATACCACGAAGACAAGAGTTCGTCATAGAATCACTACGGTTCTTCCTCGACCACAATGAGCGCCCCGAACGAAAATGCAGGCGAATACGTCTCGACAGAATATCTGAACAAGTGGGAGACGAGATGAAGTTCATGTTGTTCTCGCGCGCAATTCAAGCTGAGGTGACAGGAGTGGATCAACACCAGCAGAACGGGGTCGCTGAAAGAGCCCACAAGACTATTTACGATAGGGTTGGGCCTACGCTAGCACATGCGAGGTTGCCGTCTAAATTCTGGCCGGAAATTGCTCGAACCGCAGCGTTCCTCTCCAACCGGTCGCCGTTATCGAAGCTCAACATGACTCCGTACCAAGCGTGGTATGGCGACAAGCCTGACCTATCACGACTCAGAGTGATCGGATCCAAAGGGGAATACTTGATCCCGCCAAAGCAAAGAAAGAAGCTCACGGATCCGCGAACAAGGCCATGCATTTTGCTAGGCTATGAAGGAAATACCAACTACCGTATCCTCCTGGAAGACGGAAGAATCGTTGGGACTCCAAACGCCGAATTTCACGAAGTCCTTACAGCTCCCTCCACACAGACTATAGAAGATGTGGGAGCCAGACAAGAAGGCTTACCTGAGGCAACGGCTGCTGCCGCAGGGGGAGTGAGACGGTGGGACTAATAAATCAACCGTCGGTAGGCATCCGGCAAGCATCCGTGCCTGCTTCGGGGCGCCAATTGTCAATGGCACCATCGGAGCGGGCCCTACCTAAGCCGAGAAACGATATCTCGCACATACTGCCTCGGAGTAACGATAACTCGCGAGTGCTTACCCAGCCGAGTAACGATAACTCGCAAACCCCAACGTCGTCTCAATCGAGTAACGAAGACTCGCAGCCAGCTGTTGCTGTACAGGGAGACAGGACCTTGTCGTCCATACGGAGTGACGATGCCCTCGGACCCCTATCACCTGCTTATCAGGATTCTGTCCTTGGGATTGACTCACCACCCGGTGGCGACCAGCAACAAGACGACGCTCAACAAGGGCTAAGTTCAGGAGAATGGCAACGATATCCAGAACTCCAACTTGAACTTGACAACCCAGTTCATGAAGTGCAACCAGGAGCACTAGATCATCACCCTGAAATGAAGATTCGTGCTCCACAAGTCACACTAGACACGTCTGATGAGAGCGAAGAAGAGCTTGCACTAATGAATATACCCGAAGAGAACATCATCCCAACACTCTTAACGGTAGCTGCAGAGGAAACAGAACCCTTTGAGCCAAAGAACCTGCATCAAGCGAAGAACGACAGAAGCTGGCTCGAATGGAAAAGGGCAATGCTTGAAGAAGTGAACTCACTCAAGCAAAACAAAACGTGGGAGCTTGTTGATCCCCCCAAAGACCGGCGAGTTCTCAGTGGAAAATGGGTCTTCAAACTCAAACGAGGACCTCACGGCAAAGTACTCCGCCATAAGAGCAGATGGGTGGTGAGAGGCTTCACACAAGAAGACGGTATTGACTATGATGAAACCTTTGCCTCGGTTGTCAAGCCAATGAGCTACAAAGCCCTCTTCGCAATCGGAGCGGCCCTAGACTTCGAGATCGAGCAAGTGGATGTCAAAACCGCATTCTTGTACGGACATATAGACCACGAGATCTACGTCGAACAGCCCCATCGCATGACGGATGGCACTCCAAGGGTCTGCAAGCTTCGAAAAGCTCTCTATGGATTAAAGCAGGCTCCTCGCATCTGGTACCAGACCCTCACGAACTTCCTGCGCAATCTTGGCTTCGAGCCAATCACCGCCGATCTTGGTATCTTCGTTCGGAGCAATATGTACATCGCGGTATATGTTGATGATCTCCTGATCGTGGGTCCGAGTATCGCAGAGATCAAGAAGATCAAGCGGAGCCTAAGGAACCGTTTTCAGATGACAGATCTGGGCCCATGCAGCTACTACCTTGGGATATCCATCCAGCGGGACCGCCAAAACAGGAAACTGTCCCTCAGTCAAGAAGCATACATTGACAAGGTTGCTCATCAATTTGATATTGGCAACTGCGCTCCCATCGGCACGCCGATAGAAACCTCACCGCTTCCAGAGAACAGTCCAGACTATACGTGCCCTCCAGATCAGAGGACATCTTACCAACGCATGGTCGGATCTCTGATGTACATTATGCTTGGAACCAGGGGGGACATCGCGTACGCAGTCTCTGTGGCGAGTAGGTCTCTGGCAAATCCTGGGCCCCAACACATAAAACTCGCTCAACGCATCCTGCGGTACCTCAGAGGAACCAAGAGCCTCAGACTCGCGTACAAGGGTCAGCCTCAGAAACTGAAAGGCTTCACAGATGCAGATTGGGGAGGATGTCGTGACACGAGCCGATCAACAGCTGGGTATCTCTTCAATATTGGAAGTGGGGCCATCAGTTGGCAATCGAAACGCCAGGGCATCGTTGCCCTCTCAACGTGCGAAGCCGAATTTCTAGGGCAGACACAAGCCACCAAAGAAGCAGTCTGGTTGAGAAGGCTTCTCACCGAATTGAATATGAATCAAGGATTAAACGCCACGATCATCTGCGGGGATAACCAAGGGGCCATTGCTCTCTCCTCGAACCCACAATACCACTCTCGCACAAAACATATGGAAATCCAACGCAAGTGGCAGGGAGAGGTCCAAGACAACGGAACAGTGAAGCTCAAATATATCCCAACCACAGAACAAATTGCTGATGGGTTCACCAAACCCCTTGCTCGGGAAAGATTTGAGTGGTTTCGGAAAGGGCTTGGCGTTGAGTGATTGCTACACCTTATTTGTATTGAACAAGACTAAGGCGCAGGGTACCCTTTCCTTCCTTTCTTCTCAAATGAAGTTTTTGAAGGTTTTAATGGGACCCGTCACAACCGCAATCACATAGTCACTGACACCATTGGTGATGGTGGCCATCGAGTGGGAGTGTTGAGTATCGCGGTGGTCAAAGCTTATGGCAGGACTAGCAATGGACATTTAAATAGACGGGGTTCCCACTTTTGATAGCAACCAAAACAAGAACACTACAACTACCTATCTCAACATATTCCTTTCGGAGCCCTAGACGTGATGTGTGGCACGCTTTTAGGACACAGGAGCAGTAATGGCGTATTTTGGGTGTCTCAGAAGCAATTTTGGGAAGGGAGTTGACTAATTGACGCTATGGCCGGGTCCGGTGTCCCAGTAGCAATTCGGGGTGACCCAACAGAATTTACCTAGAATAACAGAAGCTATACAAGAAGGGAAATTTGATGGAGTCCGTGAAGCCCAGGTTCCTGTTATTCCTGATATGGTCTAGTACTCGAGTGGGTCGTGACTGGTACAATACTTATAATCACTGGTAGACTAGCAAATCTTAGGGGTGCTCGCGAGTCAGAAAATACGACACTATAACTAAAAGTTCCTACTGTAGCTGGATGCCTAGGTATTAGTCACGTCACGTCACGTGCGATGTGAGAGCGACGGTCAGGCAAGGTTTGACGGAATCATGTAATAGCTGACAACAGATTGTCTAGCCCATAATGATTTCTCGAGATGTTATTGAGTGGAGCGAAATTCTGACGTGACTGCGGAGGTGACGGGAATGTTAGCGTCACAGTCCTCTCAATGGCTATCTATAGATCTAGATCCCCGCTGACATCACCACTCCCCGGCATCTCTTCCTTTGTGGATGCAGATCTCTAGTATCTTCGCAATTACCCGGGTACTAGTCAGTAAAGAGGCTGTAAACCTGTTCTGATCGATACAATACGGATTTCCCACCAATCAAGACCGTTCCTTTTTTGGCAAATCTCGGGGGAGGACAGGTAAAAAGTGACATCCCATAGATTTCTCCTTTTATGGGGATCGAACTTCCCACCGTCAAAATTACCTCGAGGCAAAGAAAAAGCCTGGCTGGAGACGCGAATCTGTCATCAACTTCTACGCGACTTCTTCCTATATTATCTCGCTGAGTGTCTACGGGACAATCTCACTAACAGCTCCTAACGGAAGATGAGAAAGGCTAAGGAGCTAGTGAAGTTCTGTAATCCAGCAGATTGCAGATCACGATTTTGAATGTTGGTTAGGAGAGCTCAGACCGGTCAAGAAATAGCTCACGTGTGTCGAACCGCCTTCGATTCATTCACACTGTGCCCACACCGATGAAAGCATAGCAGATATGTATGTTGAAGAATGTGGACAAGGGACGCATTTTCTTCTCTATTCTGAGTCTATTAATCTAATACGAATGGCAGATCACTCTGAAGCATGCCTAGGCCTGAGTCAGTTACCATACTTGTATGTCACTTCCTAAGTTCCTCTGTCCCAAGCTATCATTCGGGCTTCGAAGTGAATAACTAAGGTGTAGAACTAATAATATATAGATAACAGACTGGGTTCTGTTCTTCCTTGCCACACTCGCTGTTACAGCTCGGTTATATGTCCGACTTTTCCTCCGAAAGACACCGAGTCTGCTCGCAGAGGGCCTCGTTGTAACGGCTTGGTGTTCTATACTTGTATCAACTATTTTGTACACTATTATAGTGAACAGTGGATCTAGAACTGGCTTTATGAATGGTCTCCAGAAACAGGGCAGTTCGCAAGAGGTGAGGCCATTATACATACGCTCCAACAGACTCTAAACATGAATGCAGCTTCTTTATGTCAGCGCCTTCTTCTGGATCACAGGACTATATTTTACCAAACTCAGCATGGTGATTTTTTATTTCTACCTCTTTCCCCCAATTATGCCTCGGCTGCGCGTCGCGTTATGGATGGTAACCATATACATTATACTTGCATTCATTACGTCGCTTATCATCCTTCTTGCGTGGTGTATTCCGATTCCAATAAACTGGTTAGTTTGCTCTCCATTTGATTACGAAGCTGAAGTTACTTACCTCCTTGTTTCTTAGGAATCCACAAAACCCATGCAGCTCACTTGCAAATAGAGAAACATTCAGTGTATTCTGGGCTTTGAATATTACGGGAGAGATGTCACGTACGAGATTATTTCTCTAATTTTTTATCCTTGATTGCGACTAATTGATGAAATAGTCTTCGTTCTGCCCTTCTTCCTCCTCCCTAACCTGCATGTAACGAAACCTCAACTCTGTACGATAGTGGGGATTTTCGCCATCGGGCTAGTTACGATCCTTGCGGGCCTTGCTCGGTTTATTGTTATCATGATTTCGACTCAGAATGCTGTCACAGGATGTATGCCTCCTTCTCCCCCCATTAAACTATGTACTTAAGGGCCAAGCTGACTGGAATGTAATTTCAAGTCGTCCTAACCCAAACAGAACTCTGCTGTTCAGCGATCACAGTCTGCCTCCCCATGCTCAGGCCACTTGTTCGGCAGGTACTTGGTGGTAGTTGGTTGAATAGTGGTTCCTTGAGTGATACCCATTCCTCACGGACGCCAGTTATAGCGTCAAGGCCAGCCTATCATATTTCTCTGGATGCATTTGGGATCACAAGATGGGAGGAGCGAGATCATTATGAGCCCGGCCACCCGAGGTCCGATCATGAGGGGTTTGAGCTACGGAACAACACGAGATCCACGGTGGAACCGCAATATGAGAGTGCTAGTGGTCTGACGGATGGGGGTGATAGCTTGAGGCTATAACTGAGGACTCCTGATATTATACAGAGAGGACGAGATCCAACTGTTTTTGTATTAGATGTAATTCTAAAGAAGGCTATAAAGTATTATTCCACCCAGAGGTTATCCCAACTACCAATCGCCAATTTATCTTATTCCTACTGTCAAAAAGCGTATCACTCTGCGTCTCGTATCTTCTCTCTCAACATACTCAGCCCTTGGCGTACAAATCCGTGGTAATCAGTATTTTACAGCCTTGCAACTCATAACATCATTGAATTAGACCAATTATCACCTAAATGTATGAGATATCTAGGGCGTTGGATTATGATGATGAAATGAACACACAAATGCATGGTAGTTAGCCGGGGTAGATTGATTGCTTTATAACCTTAAAAGGGTATAAGGATTGAGGTTTTAGAAAACGATAATCGGGGGTACTTAACGCTATATAGATAAATAGATAATAGTAGACTAGATGGGTGCAATGGTTCATCCACGTCCCAGATAGGCATCTTCGGACGCCTTTGTATTATGCCACGCGCACCTAACAGAAGGAGATAGTCCGGCTTCTTCTCAGCAGAGGCAGCTCTGCCCTGGAACGGAGGCGTTCAACAGGCCTACAGTAGCCTCAGCCAGTCAATGGAAGAAAGTCATGCTCAGTCGAGGAACAGGATAATACAGGAATGGAGTTTACATTGGGAAATCAGCCAAGAACGGGCTCTCATTTATGGATGGGCTGGATACGTGCATGGGTGATTTTCTTGACGGCAACCGCCTCAAGAATGGGGCTGGTGTCACACTCCCGGGCGAGCATTCCACCTCTGTTTCGATTTGGACTTGGGGAGAGAAAATGCCTTCAACGTGCGGCTGTGGGCCGAGACAGGTTTATATAGAAGTGGCGGCTACCTATTAGGTCACTGAGGTTACGAAAATTGCAGGGTGGTTTGATGAACTGTTTCGCCAGCTTTTGAAGGACCCCATATGGAAGTTTTATCTCCTTCTTAATGATAGTCGGTAATCTTCTTTTTCACTTTTTTTCCCTCTCGTTTGTCTTCCCTGACTATGTATGATACCTCTGCATCGAGCTCGATGTCGGGGTAGGCATATCCGTCTCAGCGTTCGTCTCGTATCTTTTCCTATCCAATTTAAACTCGGATAGTGACAACTAGTGTCTTTTAAGTGTGTTCTAAGCTCGTCTTGTCTAAGGTAAGTGGAGAGGAAATCTACAGCAGGAGTCATAAGGCCTTTCACTCCCCTACCTTTATGTGATCTATATGATGAACCTGAGACACTCAAAATTGGGCAAAAATGAGGCGAAAAAAGAGAGGCCAAGGTAGGGCGAAAACAATGCATGAAAGGGTACACTCGCTTCGAAGCTTTCGTATAGAGACTGTCCAATACTTCTTAGCACCGTGTACACATTTATAACCTCTGTTGTATTTGGCCAAAGGGCGGTCCATTTGGTAGGCTCTTTATTTACTGACATGACTTCGTATTTCGTGTTCAAGGCGATGTAACATGAGTCCCATTGATAATCTCCTGGGGCCACCAAAGCCATTCTCGATATTTGGGTCCAGTACAGACAACAGCTGGGTCATTAAGCGCTGGCTGAGACCTTCCATCCACCACATCCACTCAATCTGTCGAACACATGCACACCAATATCCAAATATAATCAGAGCAATCGGTGCTTCCTGTCTTAGGAGATCCAGATAATCATCCCACACATCTAGAAGCCACCGGAACACATCAGCAGTCTCAAGCCTCCAAGTAGCACCAGGCTTCAAGGCAACACCTAATGTCCGCGCTAGCTCATCTAATGTGTCTTGATAGATTTTTTTAAGTATTGACAAACTCGCATTCGAGGTTTAGTGATTCGCTGATTGATGGATTCGGTGCTTAAAGTGCATTGTGCAATTTCTATAAACGAAAACCAACAGTAGTAAATCAAGAGCGTGTTCTGAAAAATATACGGTATTGTAAATGCATACATCAATCACCAATCCCCAATGATGTCGTCCTAGTTCAAGGAGGGATCTGTCTACGGCGCTGTATGAAAGAACTCGAGTCCGACAGAGCCGCAGCAGCGTGCACGTCAAACGTCCGCTTGGCCATCCGGGAACCAGACGGGGTCGAGTTCTGACCCTGCCCTATGATTGCCGACAATCAGGAGAGATGCATACTTAGTAGCCGGGACGGGTTCGGCAAGCGTCACGTTGGTGGTGTTGCCTGAAGGGATGGCAATGACGTCCAGGTTGGTGGTCTGCGGGTTGTAGGGGTCAGAAAGAGCGATGTTGTGAAGTGACGCCACAATCTGATAGTTCGAGCTTTGGCTGTAGTAGGCCATGGTAGGGTCACCGAGAGTCTGGTTGTGGAAGATGACCGTCGCGTTGACGGGAGGTGCTTGGGCCCAGTCGAAGTAGAAGCCCGAGACCATGGAGCCGGCTTCCGAGCCGAACGAGACAGTCACAGCGCTCATGTTTGCCGCCCAGGCGGGCTGCCACTTGGTCGAGGAGGCTCCATCCACCACGGAAATAGGGAACTGGCCCGGTTGGAAGGTGTTCACAGACTGAACAGGCTGGCACTGGACGAGGTTACCAGTGATGGTATCGCGTGAGCCGGTCCGGAGGTTGGGGATGACGAGGGAGCCCGATGCCGGGAGACTGTACATGGTAAAGTTTGTCTTAGTGCCGGAGCGCACGGTGATCGTCTGGTTGGCAAAGCGCTGGTCCGCGGTATCAAGAACCTGGGCATCGGTGGCCCGGCTGATGATAGTGTGGGTGTAGTTGGACCAGGCATCAATGGGCCATCCATGCCAGTAGAAAGTTCGGTATTTCAAGTACGGGATCTGGGGCGGCAGGTTGGGGTAAACGTGCAAGTAGTCGTCGGGGAGCAGACGCAGTCCCAGGTAGCCGAAGAGGGCAACCTGGTTAGCACCACCGTGACCAGTCAGGAACGGGAACGCCGGGTGGGTGCCTCCGTTGATGGCAGCGTCGTCGATTAATTGCTCCGACATCTGGAAGAAAGGAGCTCGGACATATGGTTTGTACGAGTATTGACCGTAGGTGAAAGCCGAGCATCCGGAGGGCGACATCTCGTTGGCCACGATCGAGAAGATAGCCCAGGCCATAGCCGGTCCATCAGGAGACTGCTTGTTGGCGTACTATTACACTTGTTAGGCCCCAAGTCATGCGTTGACCTTTGAACAACTCACGTAGTCTAGGTCGTTCAACGGGTCCTGAGTGGCGTAGTCTAGAGGGTAAGTGTCCAAAATAACGTCCGCCTGCTTGACCACAGCACTTCCATTCATGGTAGTGAATTCGAGGGTCACGCCGTTCTCACGGAGAACCAAGACATTGGCGGCCATCTCGTCCCAGGTCGAATTCGTCTCTATCCCAAACTGCTGACGGAAGGCATTGGCATACGACAAAGTCTCAGCGACGAGGGGCATAGTGAAACCTCCCGCATCGACATTGTTCGCATACTCGTCCTATATAGTGTCAGTTTTTGCTGACCAAAAGCGAATGCAAAACTTACTAAGCTGGACTTGTGCCTCTACCAAGTTTCCGTCCGCGGCTTTGATCTCAACACCAGGGCCTAGAACACGTTTCCCAGTGTGCGGATGGGTCATATGGCTGAAGCATTTCCCTGGTGTATTGAGCCCCGCCTGTTCATAGTCTACTTTCCAAAAGTCCACAGGCAGACCGACAACTAGGTCCACTTTGCGAGTGTATGTATCGCGGGCTGTGTAGCGAGGTTGGTACTGAGGATCAACGGATTCTGTTTGACTACAAGCAATTAGCAACGAAGCAGTAGGGCACACAAGAAGCTTCGTGGTTAAAACATACATGCTCCAACACTCTAACGGCAGTTCCGCAATGGCCCCTTCCAACAGCGGCAGTGCGACCTTGTTCAACCAGGAACCTTCACTGCGCAGTTCAGTAGCACACTGACACGACGCATTTGCAACTTTCCGAGCAACCTCTTCATCTGGGCCGTACTCAGAACCCTTTGTTAGAGTTGCCAGTAGCAGACTCGCAGCGACGCTATTGGGGTCGGTAGATTCATGTATGTAGACGACCCTGGGGGTGGCGGCGGCTAGTTCTGCTTTCACGCGTGATGGACTAGATGAACGTGACCTCCCACCCCGACTAGCCACGGAACTTGATGGGGCCAGAGAGGTGATGTCGTCAGGTAGGCGGACGGAAACGGTGGATCCAGTTTCGGAACCAGGTCGATATGGTCTCTTCGAAGGATCTGGCTGCGGCATCGAATTTTCGGCTCCAGGTAACGACCTTTTGCGTTTGTGCTGGATCACTGGGGTTGAAGGAGGCGTCGTCAGATTGCTCACCAGGTTCTCGAACCGATCACTGTTGGGCGGGGTTTTGGGCACGCTCCTCGCAACTCCCTCGATCCAGGACAATATCGCGACGTTTTGCCAAGTAACGGACACATCACACGAAACACTTAATGATAAGAAGACCACACACAATCTACCACGCATAAATCAGTGGGAGTGTTGATTCAGAATCAAGTCCGACACAGTAAATACAATCCGTTCATTGCTTGAGCTCGTCGGGTCATGTGTATGGCTGGCTCGTTTTAAACATAGAAAGTGTGTTTGATCGACCGGGGCGTTTTTTGGCACAAAGCTGGGGTTCCTTTGCGCTCTGAGTGTAAATATTCGCTGGGAAAAAGCCACCAGTCCTCTCCTTAGAATAGAGGAGTCCACGGAGGGCAGACAACACCGCTGGGTAGTGTTTAAGAGAACCTAGGGAGGTATTGAGTGCGATCGAGAGCCGAGGTGTGCTTGGCACTTGAACATAGGACAATGTCAGTCTATCAAGTTTGCTCTATTAGACATCCCAAACGGTGCCCTAAATGACGAGCTGGAACGAGGTTCACCGACCGTTCGCTCGCTAACCAATTAAAGCGGCGCAGTGCTTTCGTGGCTAACTGGGTAAATTCGTTCAATCCAAAGCCATTGCGGTGACTGACCATGCCCAATTCAAAGGGAACAGTTTGCGTGGGTAGTCAAGACGGTCCATCATAAACAGTTCAGATGCATTCTTTTCCAGATTAATCACGTAGGCTAATAACCGGTATTAGCTTCATTTAAGGACCGCATTCATCAAAGGTGACTGTTGAAATTGACGGAACGTGCTAATGTCTATTTGAAATAATCATTCCGAATTCTGTCCACATCAGCTAATCATTTCAAAGACTTGCCTTCCCTTTTGTGTAATTGGATTCAGCTAGGTTTACACCTATCCCCCCACTTGAGAGGTTGGCCTTTCAATTCATCATCGCCAGACTATAATTCACTGGCCATATGTTTCCCTGCGAGCTGAATCATCTTTATTCTACCGAATTAGACTAATTTTACCAGAGCCTATCTAACTCATCGGAGTCAGTCCGGCTCCATTGTTGGCGGAACTGCGTGACTTCCAGCACATGATCCTTTCCGATCCGAAGAAACAGCATAGCTGAATGGCCGAGTATCGATTTATACCCGGCGAAAAGTGAAGATACACAACCTCCGCGTTCTAAATCTTTGGCTGACGCATCCTAAATTTTAAACGCCGATGACAGATCCTGGTACACGGTGAATCTAATTCAGTCAGATATTCAATTCATCTGGCCAAGTATCAGAGTAATATGTTTCTCTCTGGAGCTTTGCAGGGGCTCCAGACTCTAGATTGTAATTCATAATTCAGGGACGAAAAGCGTGGCAGGACCTTTCTAAACTCACCGAGGGCAAATATGCGCACGGGAGATCAGGGCAAATGGTGGTCTTGCGGAATTTGCCGTATATGATGCCGTATCGAATGGGAATTCCCTCTATGCAAGTGGACTGTATGAAACTCTGCACCCTTTTCAGTCTCAAAACCTACTCGATCGGGCATATTCCACATTCCCAATTTGGAAGTATCATGGAACAGGTTGTCCTGAACGTTGCAATAACTGCAAGGATCCGGTGACTGGAGAGTCTTCAGCATTATCCGGCACAATTTCTAGGTCGGGTTACGTACCTTCTCATTTTGTGACCAATACTCTGGGCCAATGACCAGACTAGCGACCTGATCGAGTTGAGCATCCTGTGACCTGTACGAACTGGAACGGAACTTACTGGGGTCGAAAATAACACGGTAGTTAACCAAGGGAGCACGCGGAGTACCATATTGTCAGACAATTCATTTGCAATACTGCTTAAACACAGTATTAGTGAGAATGTTGATAGGCCCTGTATCTAGTAGAACCGTAGCCGACATAGATTCTTTATAAGCCCAGCCGTCTGCCTAGGAGAGCCTCGAATGACAGGGATTCCAGTGTCTTGTAATCTCGCAATCCAGGTTCTATCGTTAGGTACAACTATCTGCTCGCAAAAAAAGGAGTGACTCCAATACGGGCACTCTGGCTTTCAATCGTAAGCCGTTTATGATTATGCAGAGCGTGGTTGCGTGTTAATGTCTTCTCGTCCCATTGAAACCAAACGCTCAATCCTTGGATTAGACATAGGGAAACTACACGTCATTCTCGAGGGCCGGTTAATTGAACCCATAGAAAAGCGTTCTCCGGTCAGGTTCCGACTGTGACCCATCTATTGTCTATAAAAGCTGGTCTCTAATCAGTATCATGCGTTGGTCAAAGTTCATAATTATAGCGACAACTGAATCTTTCGAAGTGCACCTATGACGCCGCCCAGTTCCTATGATGACACGTCTTGTAGCGGAGCCACGCTGGGCTCTCAGGATTCAGAGCCCCAGGATGTCTCAGACTCAGAACTTGACTCTGATTATGTCCCTTCGGAAATGAGCGAAGATCGAGCATTCCTAGCTTCCGATGCAGAAGAGCTCTCTTACGTCTCAGATAACAGTTCCAATATGGAGGATGCTGTAATGATCATTATACACGACTACTCGAGCCGTGGGGATTGACAGGTATGATCAGAGCAAGTGTGTAAGGGTCTGGTCCTTCTCACCATGTTATCCAGATACAGAGCCTCGAGAAGAAACCCATCAAAGCGATAGCAAAAAGGGAAATTATGCGAAATGGCCAGTTAAGGACTGAGTATCTAGTCCTCTGGTGCTCTTGGGAAAGCTTGAATTAGTTGGATGGCAAGCAGAACCCGAAACAGTCAATGTACAACTTTTTTTTGTCCTTTTCTGCAACAGTTTCTAGAACCTTCCCTATAGCAGAATTAAAGAATGTTGACGACTCGTGAAACTCCGGTTCCCTTTCCTGATTTACTGTACCACCGAACTAAACCAGGCCAAGGATAACAATAAAAAGTCACAGACAGTAGATGTCAGCACGTGATCACTTGGATTATATGATAGGTTCTATTCGGGACTGTTGCGTGAGAGCCCCTTGCGTCGGGCCCACGATATCCCGTGCTGGACATCGCACACAAATATCGCCTGGCCTTCCCCTCCCTCGAAAAGAACATCGCCGTTTCGAGGGAGAGCCGGGCTCTCTCCGCGACGGTTTCTTCAATAGTTCCTTTTACAATGGTGCGTCATAGTTCGGTGGCCCCCAGTCTAACCCCTGGGGGACAGACCACCCTGGGCTCCTCGATCTATCCACCAGAGTACATATGGAATTCCCTCTCCGACTCCCAGCAGGACTCATTCATCTCTACTGTGTCCGCGTCCCTTGTTGCGGGCGACGGGCAGCGCAAGCGCCCACGTTTAGACCTCACTGCGGAAGAGTATGCTGACGACGGTAGGGTCCCGTCTCTTGTTTTGCCAGTCCTTCCCCGTTTCCCCGGCCTCGACCGTGCTGCTATTATAGCCGTTTTCGAGCACACCTTCCGACCAAAGAAGGACCTCATAAAACTCCGTAGCCCTGAGTTCAAAGCCTCGGCACCGGATGGCGAGTCTTTCGACTTAAAATCCACATCATCTGGCCTGCAATTCCGCAAGGTAGTCTCAATTAAGGACTGGGGAAATGACGCATCCCTCTGGGCCCATTGCTTTAGCAATTACGTCGCTGTCTGGTGTGATTTCTTCGCTGCTAAGCACCCGTTATGCATCAGTGGAATGGTTCTCTTCCACCGCCGCATTTGTGACCTTGCTAGGGCATATAAATGGCAGGACTGTATCCTGCAAATGGCCCTGGACCACCACCAGATGGTCGTCGATAAAGGCGACCTCACCGTTTCTCTTAGCGATTGGGAAATTGGGAAAGCCCTCGAAAGCTCCTACCTTCGCCCGGACAACGTGCTCCCAGCAAAGACAGCGCCGGCTACCCCAACCACACGGTCAACGCGCTCTACCGCTGCCCCAAATAATGACACTGTCATTTGTGAAAAATTCAACTCTTCTGCTGGCTGCCACTGGCGAACATGCCACCGAAGACACGTCTGCTCTAAGTGCGGCAACGACCATTCCGTGACAAGCTGCAAAGTAAAACCAGTGAGTTAGGAGCACGCCGGGGTCGGCCCTGGTATAGGTCAAACCTTGTCGCCACCAACTAGCTGGCCAGCCCCGCGTCCCAACACTTCTATTCAGTTTGAGGTCTTCGACCCTTCCCTCCCGCCTCTGCGTGATTCCGCTTCTCCCTTCATTGCTTCGGCGTGGAAAACCCTCCTCGAACGCTATCCTGGCAACCTAGGGACTATCTGCAGCGGCATCCTTACATTCGGCTGCCGCCTCGGTTGTACGATCCAGCCAAGATACCGTCGAACTCCTAATCACCGCATCGAGGAACACTCTCTTATCACCCAGAAGCTCTCTGATGACCTATTATGTCGTCGGGTGCAACCATCTACTGACCCCGTCGTTGTTTCCCCACTAGGGCTGGTGCCTAAACACGACGGGAGCTGGCGCCGTATCCATGATCTTTCCTACCCGCCGGGTCGCAGTGTCAACGAGTCCATCCCCGACGCTGCTTCTACTATACAATACATATCTATGGATAACATCTTCGATCTCATACGCACGTCTGGACGAGGATGCTATATCATCAAACGCGACATCAAGGATGCCTTCCGTAATATCCCAGTCGCCCCCGCTGACCGGCCCCTCCTAGCCTTCTCATGGGATAGCAAGACATACATGGAGTGCTGCCTCCCATTCGGCCTTTCAACGGCACCCTTCATCTTTAACCTTTTTGCTGAGGGCCTTAACTGGCTCCTAACCGCTTACTTGCCTTTGGCCTCTATCGCTCATTACCTTGACGATTTCATCGTTATTTTTCCTTCCTCCGTGGGAGGTCTCTCTAAAGCCCTTACCGCTTTCAATAGCGCATATATTCCTCTCACGGATGCGTTAGGCATCCCACGGAATGACTCGAAAGACGCCGCGGGTACCGTGGTCAGTGTCCTTGGGGTCGAAATCGACACGACACTTCTGCAGGCCCGTATGCCTCGCGATAAGCTAGCACGCGCATCTTCCGAAGCCGCGTCGCTACTACAGCTAGATCGTGTCTCGCATAAAGCTTTGCAACGTGTAGTCGGTTTCCTCCAACACTGCTCAATAGTTATCCGTCTCGGCAGAGCCCGCCTTCAGTCGCTCTACAGCGATCTCGCATCCTTCCCGCCTCACCACCGCTCCGTCCGCCGCCTATCCCATGATAGCCGCGGGGATCTCGCGTGGTGGAGGGACACTCTCCCGTTATTTAACGGCATCCATTTCTTCGAGAAGAGCCGCCCCCTAGTTGCCCTCTACACAGACGCGTGCGACTCAGGTCTGGGCCTCTTCTTCTTCTATGCGCCCTCATGGGACTCCGCCAGGGACTGGATGTCTGCAGCGCCTCACCTGCCTTCCACCCATGCGGCTATTGTGGACGCCTCCTCCGCCTGCGGCGACGTGGCCCACATTAACATTAAGGAGGTCTCTGCGATCCTGCAGGCCTTCCTCATACACAGCCCCCATTGGGCTCATCATCGTGTCCTCGCTTTCACGGACAGCGCCGTCGCGTTTCATGGCCTGTCTAAGCAGGCACTCCGTGGGCCGGCTCATCGCTCTCTGCTCATGCTTTTCAGCATAGCAGCCGCCCTTGACATCGAAGTCCAGCCACACTGGCTTCCTTCATCGGAGAACCTACTAGCTGATGCACTGTCCCGTTCCGATTATAGGATCATCGCTGATATTTGCCCACAGTGGACAAGCTCCTTTCCCTTGCTCCGCCAGCCTGGTTCTCTCGACAGCCTATTTTCGTGAATGCTGGCCATGCAAAGTTGGTCTGGAATGGCCTTGCCGAGGGAACCAGAAGAGGCTATCGCTCTGCGCAGCGCTCGTACACCCGTAGCTGCGCTATTATCGGAGTGCAGCCCTGGCCAGCCACTGCCCCGTCGATCTGCACTTGGCTTACGGAACGCCTGCTGGGCGCGGGTAGTTCCCCACCTGTGAAGCCCGATTCAGCTATGTCTGAGCTCTCGGCTCTCCGCGCGTATCACATCGATAACGGTCTACCTGACACAATTTTTGACCTCCACGCAAAGCATTTTCGTCGCATGATCGATGGCGCTCGTCGGCTGCAACCGCCCCGCCAAAAGCGGATTCGCAACCCAATCTCACGCGCCTCAGTCATAACCCTTTCAGGGAATATCTCACATATCCCTGCCCAACCGCTGGGGCTCTCAGCGGCCCAGAAAAATGACCTTAATCTTGCCGTGGCCGCCCGCGTTGCCTTCGCTGGATTCCTTCGGGTCGGGGAATTTACATACTCAGCTGCCGACCTTAGAAAGACTCAAGTCTTCGCTGCTACTAAGTTAACCCGGGCGGATATCAGGTTCTCCCCCACCATGGACCACGTCCTCCTTACCTTGAAGAGAAGCAAGACCGACCGAAACCACGAAGGTGTCAATGTTGTCCTTGCAGCAACAAACGACGCAGCCTGCCCCGTCGAAGGCCTTTCTAAGCTATTCCTCCACGACTCACAGCCTATGTCTGCCCCCTTGTTTACGCTCTCCTCTGGCCCCTTCACCTCATCCGCCTTCCAACGTGCGGTTATCTCTAAGCTCAACCGCGCCGGGGAAGATACCACGGGACTTAAGGGTCACAGTTTCAGAAAGGGGGCAGCACAACACGCCCACAACGCAGGCTTAAGAAATGACCACATCCAAGCCCTCGGGAGATGGTCATCCGAAGCCTTCCGCCTTTACTTCACAACACCTACGACAACACTGTACGCCTGGAACCGTCAATTCCAGACCGGTTATCCAACTCCGGTCTCATCTTCCATACCACCAGCCCCTCCACCATCCTCTTTTGGCCCACCGGGTCATTTGGGCCCGCCTGCAGCCCTCACGGCGCTGTAGCCCTCCGTCAACGAGGCCTACATCGCCAGTGTTCAGACCGCAGGTGCCCCGTGCGAGCCAAAATATCTCATCCGTCTCCATTTGTGCCAGTGTAGCAATGGTTAGAATAGATGATAGGTTCTATTCGGGACTGTTGCGTGAGAGCCCCTTGCGTCGGGCCCACGATATCCCGTGCTGGACATCGCACACAAATATCGCCTGGCCTTCCCCTCCCTCGAAAAGAACATCGCCGTTTCGAGGGAGAGCCGGGCTCTCTCCGCGACGGTTTCTTCCCGCCCACCGCGGAACCCCCTCATGTATATACCACGTATGCTCTCGCATAGCTATTTTTCCTCCTAGAATATACGGAGTGCCACGGGCCCGCCTGCAGCCCTCACGGCGCTGTAGCCCTCCGTCAACGAGGCCTACATCGCCAGTGTTCAGACCGCAGGTGCCCCGTGCGAGCCAAAATATCTCATCCGTCTCCATTTGTGCCAGTGTAGCAATGGTTAGAATAGATGAAGATTCGATCGTAGGAAAGGAAGCTAAAAATGCCCCGAACAGCCTCACGACTTCCCCTTTTCAGGTCTCTGATAAATGGATAAATGAATGGAAGACAGGGTTCCTTATGTAGCTTAAGGCGATATTGTCGATAATTCCGACTTTCATCAAGGAATCCAGCCAACACTGGTT